CTTTGATTCTTCGTGAATAATCTTAGTTTCGCTTCGTGAATAAGCTTCGTGCTTAGTGAATAAATTGTATACCTGTGAGAATACATTATAGGTGGTAGTATCTGGTACGATACTCTAGTCTTCGCCTATCTGCCAAGTGAGTGAAGTTACAAAGTAAGATCGACGATTACGCCATAGCAAAGGAAAGCTACGCGACACTTTGTCTCGCAACAGCTTACTGAATACGAATACTTTCAAGAAATGTTAAATAAAAAAGAATTGCCGAATCATAAAAAGGTGAAAAAAATTATAGATGGTAAAGCTAAGATAACATAAAAACTTATGTATATTTTTCTATACTTAGGTGAAAAAGAGGTGAAAAATACTTCAAAAACTATGACCCAGAAATCGAAAAACACAAGTGAAAATTCTTCTTCGGAGTTGCCGTCCTCTTCTGATGTAGGGTCTAAAAATGATGAAGAAATAAAGTTTGATTTCACAAGTGTTGAAATTGAGTTGCTACAGGAACAATCAAATAAGGTATACTATATATAAAGACTCTGGTGTTTTTATTCTGTATATCTTAACAGTTTGCTTTCCACTTTTAGTGGGAGGTCGGTACGGTCAATGTATTGCAAAGATTTAAAAAATACCAGATAGAGATAATTGAGAAAGCGAAAACTTACAGAATAAAATGGAGTAGCTTTCATGAAGTGCTAGAAGTATTTTGGATATTATAATATTGGATAATGTATTTGCTAACGATTTCTATTTATGCTTGTTAGAGCACTTTCTTCGATAATTGTTTTAAGCTTGCCTTGTCCTTATCCTACTCATATTTTTACTAGTTGGGAATGGCAGACGATTATATATAAGAACCCTTATATTGTAGCTGATTCAGTTCTATCTGAAATTTTATCTTCTTTACGAAATGTATCAGCTGATTTCTTGGAAGGCAAGACTCTTTTTTTGTCTTTAAGTGATTCCGAAATCAGCTGAGTGGTTTCTCACATTTTTAACGACATGTAAGCTGTGTTTAAAATTCAATGTTCTCAATAAACATTTAATTTTTTTTAAGAACATTAATATTAAAAATAGTGTTTTCTTATTTAAGAACATTTTGTTCTGTTAAAATGTTCTCAAAGAGAACATTAGCAAATTATATAAACGTAATCTTACGTAAGATATTACGGCCCGTAATATTGCGCAAGAATTACGGTCTGAACATAAAATTGCGCAATTTATTACGTAATATTACGCAATTTATTACGGAGTATTACGCAATTTATTACGGAGTATTACGTAATT